CTGGGGGATCGAACCGCAGTCCCTGATGCTTTGCTAAGCTTGTTCTAAGTAGGTGCTTTAGACCACTGAGCCATCTCTCCAGCCCCTCTGAATCAGATTATTAGGGTGTTATTCTTAGGCATATTTTTCTGTGACTCTGGTGTTGCCAGTCAGCCAGAGTGTACTGCTTTCACAGTTTGAGGACTGAGGTTTTCTCTTAGGCCAATTGCTTGTGAAAGTCTCCTAAAGTATTCTTTCTCTATTTACTTTGGTGTATGCGTATAGTTTTTCATACGGTGCATTGAGTAATACTGAGAAACAGTAGACAAGATAGATTTTTTTTTCCATTTTGGAATAAAGAAAAATAAATAAGCTTGTCTTTTTTTCTTTCAGTGCACATTATTTTATTAGTTAATATTTTGATTTGATATTATATAGTCTTATTGACCTATATACCACTCAGTGAAGCTATCTCAAGCATGGCAGGAGTTAGCAAACTTTTCTATACAAGTCAGATAGTAAATATTTTAGACTTTGTGTCTCAGTCTGTTATAGCTATTCAGTTCTACTGTAGGGTAAAAATAGCTGAAGATTATAGATAAATAAACGAGCATAGCTGTTTTCCAATAAATACATTATGAAAACATCTAACTCACTACTTGTAGTTTGCTAGTTCTTGGTCTGAAAGGACGGTAGTGAAGAAAAGCTAAGCAGTTAATTTTTTCTGAATTCTACAAATAATCATTTGACACTGGAACTGCTTTGCATAAAGGAAACTGTGTTTTTAATCTTTTGCTCCTTGTGACTGCAAAATTTTTCATCCTTACTCCTGAAATCATTAGGATAAACCTGGCATTAGTGAGCATCTATGAAGTTTGGTAACACTTCTCCAATTTTGCAAAATAAAATATTTGATTTTTAATTTTAGTTTTTTTGCAGGGCTGGGGATTGAACTGGGCTCCAGTTCATTAGATTAGGCAAGTAGACTACACCTGAGCTTCATCCTGAGTCCTTTGATTTTAAATTTTTACTGTCCTTTCTTTGTGTAACTTGCAGGATTTATGAGTTATGTAGGAATTTTCATGACAGTCAGTAATAGAGAGCTGCTTACATTTGCCTGTGAAAATGTATGCCTGACTAGAAAATGGGAAGGTATCTCCTATTCCCACATAGGCAGAACCGATACTGTATAATGGCCTTTTTACCAAAACTGATATGTAGACCTAGTGCAATCCCAATCAGAGTACAGCAGCATTCTTCAAAGAACTAGAAAAAAATAATTATAAAATTTATGTAGGGCTGGTGAGATGGCTCAGTGGTCTAAAACACCTACTTAGAACAAGCTTAACAAAGTAGAGGGACCGCGGTTCAATCCCCCCAGCACCACATGCCAGCCAGCCCTGCTTCCTGGTGGGCTGAGCTGGCCACACACACATACACACACACACACACAAATAAATAAATAAATAAATAAATAAATTAAAAAAAAAATTTATGTAGTGCCAGTGAGATAGCTCAGTGGTCTAAAGCACCAGCTTAGGCAAAGTGCAGGGACTGTGGTTCCACCCCTGGTACTACATGCTATGCCAGCCCCACCAGCGCTGAGCTGGCCACAAAAAAAATAAAATAAAATAAAATAAAATAAAAAAATGTGGGGCCCGGGGAGATAGCTCAGTAGAATAAAGTGCTTGCCTGGCATGCACAGGATCCCGAGTACAATCCCCAGTACCGCTAAAAAAATAAAAAAATAAATGTGGAACCCGAAGAGACTTAGGATAGCAAAAGCAGTCCTGGGCACTAAGCAACGCAGGAGGCATGAGGCATCACCATCCTGGATTTCAAGGGATAGTACAAAGCTGTGGTGATGAAAAGAGCATGG